GTGAGGGTCTAAGGACAGAGGGTGTCGTATTGTCATACTGATATTCTGTACAAACTGTGAAGTCCACTGAGACCAATGTAACATTTGTGATATTGGGCTATATAAATAAACATTGATTGATTGATTGATTGATTGATTGATTGATTGATTGATTGATGCCTCTAGCCCTATAGAGATATGACTACTCCTGGGGTTTCATCCTATCTCATCCTGCCTTGGCAATGACCCTCTGCACTGACTTACCTTCAGTGACATGGGACACATCACTAAGCACTTACCTCTACTGCATTGTGTCCACTTCGGTCATCCATCTCCTGGTTTCCTGGACAGAGGGGAAAGATGGAGGGAAAAGAGACGAAAGTGGCAGCGAAATGTCTGTGTTAAACTGTCATTTATGTTGACTGAGTCCTAAGATGTTTTCAAGAGCACGAAAACAGGACCCTTTATTATCACTCCACCTCAAATGTAAGGTATAAAACAGGGGTTCTAAACATACACCCTCCAATCCAGCCAGCTGACTTTGAAAAGTGTAAAAATTACAAAGAAATTAACTTAATTTTTAACATAGTATTTTGTTAATAAATGTACAATGCAGGATAACTTAACCTTGGTGGTCAGGATTACTACATACTGTAGATGTGTAAATAAATGTAAAGAAAAATCTAGATCTTGACAAGTTGTTATGATCATAAAGTACATTTATATATTGTTCAGGTCCAGACATGGTTATGCCTTGGCCTTTGTACTGTGTGTAAAAGATCAACTGAGGCATTCAATTGTTGAAATTACACTTTTTCTTTACAAAGAAATGTCAGGCTGCTCATAATCAAGTGTAAAAATATAGTTAATTAAATGTGAACATTTTCCGAATTAACTTTTTTGAACTAAACCAAAGGGAACCAATTGGAGTATTTATTGGTTATTATGCTAGGATTCTCCTGGTCTGGCCCACTTGAGATCAAATGTGACTGTATGTGGCCCCTGAACTGAAATGAGTTTGACAGCCCTGGTATAAAATATATTTTTCCAATGAATGAATTCATGAAAACAGCGGCGGTTAAACTTTGTTGCAACATTGGGAAAATGAATGCAATTAAGGGCGAGGTCTCTGCAGTGTGTTATGGAATTAAAAAGGTGCACACACACTCACTCACACACCTGATGGGGAGCCCTGTTTGCCACGCAGTTCTAGCTGGGTGCCGTTGTTCTTCACTGAGTGTGCCTTGGCCCCCTGCTGCTTCTCCAGCTCCCCTGCAGAGAACACAACACAAACATGATGATCACATAATCACTATGGCAGAAAGAGAGCTACACAGACAGACAGGTAGAAGGTGTAGGCGTCAGAATATTAACCGACACAGCTCTACTTTATTTCAAATGCCGAACACACGCTCTCATTGCCTTCCCCTCCCACTCTCGCCTCTAATCTCCAAACGCAATCTTTCTAATTACACTTCACACTTGATGGTAATTGCATGTCATTTCCAATCATGATGACTAAATGTTGTTTTGTCTCAGACACCTCCATGAATTCAAATGTTTTACTGCAAAACTGCCAGGAGCCACATTTAGAGTGCCACACACAATGTCCTTCATTTAGTTTTGGTGCAAGTGTGGCAAAAATGTGACAAACTAAACAGGAAGTGACCTGTTTTGTTGTTTATTAAAGCTTCATGTAACAGAGAGTTCAATTAAGCTTTAATGTATGTTGTCACAAATTATAGGGGAAATTGATAAAAGTTTGTTAAATGGTGCAGGACTTTTATTGATATTTGTAATGTACATATAATTATCACATTTCATAAGTTTGTCCCCCTAATTTGACATAGAATGGCCTTTTTTTGCTGTTGTTTAGAGTAGATGTAGGACTGACTTAAAATAATCATAAACAGATGTTGATAATTATGAAGATCCAGATAGAGGGAAAATGCACCTTGTATTAATAATAATAAGAAACCGTTTCCTTTCTGTCTCACAGAGGGAAGCCCAAACATCCGCAGGCATGTTTGCTAATGTGCCGACAATTCAAAACCCTTAGAAGACGACAGAACTGCCAGAAATCCTTCTTGTTTAAAACGTGTTTTATATTATTTGTTGAGGAAAATGTTGTGCTGCTTTGGTTTTTGTATATCTTTTAACAAATAGTTCTCAACTTGACTTCTTATTTGTGTGCGTTAGTTTGTTTTTGTGCACAGTAGCTGTCTCTCCTCGCTCCACTCTACTGGAAGAAATAACTTCTGTCTGTCACCCCCTCCCCCGTATGTTGCTGGCCCTTCCCCTCTCTGAAGGGGAATGCAGTTGCGTCATGTCCCAGCACGGATGCTCTCTTTGATGCCCACTGGCAGGAGCCGGGGTCTGAATACTCTGCTTTTTCATGTGGGTCTAAGTACGTGCATGTTGTATTGTCTGGAGAATTTCATATGTGCAAACAACTGAGATGCCTGGCAGCTTCCAGGAACACTGGCCTCCGTTCACCTCCAGTGTACTGCCTCCTGCAGTCTGTTAGAGCTGCAGTGCACCAAAGGAAACTAAATGCAAAAGTCAGCCTGCAACTGCACGCTAACAAATAATACAAAACAAAGGAATGGCTTCTGACCCATGTGTACTACAGACTACATTTAACATTTCCCACACAGAGTGTAATCATTCATTGTAGTCAGCCATTTTCCAAGATGTGAGATTATTATTTGGTCAAAAGATGATGCTGGGTGCATTGTTCATTGCCAAAGAGGAACCAAATACTTGGTAGACACAAGCTTGCACAAGTATAATGAACATGAATGCAGCAACAAGACTCAGATAGAGAATTAGGATCAATCCAAGAATGATATGAACCTTCTTTATGTCACATGTACCAATCACATTCTCTCTGTGTTTGGCAGCCTCCAGTCTTAATGGTATCATAAAGTGGAAAACCATTTAAAGACACTTACACTCGATGCGTATCTGCTCCATCTCCGACACCTCCGCGATTGATTCCTTCAGATCTTCTATGAACTTGAGCAGCTCCTCTGCACTTTGGGCACAGAAGTTAAGGACCTGCTTCTTGTCCGAGCCAAAAGGTGAGAGGATGGTGATACCATGAGGGTAGTCTGGCAGCGCAGAGGATGTGGGATCGTTGAGAAAAGAATAAGAAGAGACATTTCAAGAATTGTCTACAAGATATTAGCTAGTTTTTCTTTTTAAAACATTTACATCAAGGGAAATGTTTTAAAAAGTAATTGTATTCTTCTTTTGGAGATAGTGCAAAGGCAATATTAATGTGACACATTTCTATAGGACCGACCAGTTCTATAATAATGCATTGCTATCATCATGAATATAAAATAAAGGGATAGTATCCCTTTTGAAATATGGTCATAACTCCTTTATCCCTTGCTCACTTCACGATACTTTTCCTGTTTTGTAACGGTCCAAAGCATTGGGTCTTATAGGTTTTATGTTTTTCATGGGCAGCTGTCTGCAGGCAAGACTTTGTGACTTACATTCATTCTCAAACAGATGAAACTGCATGCCAAGCAGGCCCATTGCTTTGCAGAAGGTGTAGGCTGCAGAACTCTTCTTCTTTGGACAGAGCTTCAAGATCTGCACACAATCAGAAAGCAATAGTAACGGTGAGAGACAGGAGAGCAGCTCAAAAAACAAATGTCTTTTTGATAATCATTGAGATTTCCATATAAGAAAAATAGCTCTGATAGAAACACTCTGTTTGATCATTTAAAATATATTCAAAGAGCAGAAAGTCAATATTAATGTTCACTAGTTTCCGATTGTGCTCTGTGAAAAACAACACCTTGTCAACCTCATTTCAGGATGTATTAGAGATATTATTGTGCTTATTGAAGGACCTTCCGGGTAGAGAAAGATGAGGGGAAGCTGTTTTTCAGCGCAATTGTGAGGGGCATAATCTGCCAAGCGAGCTGTTTTAAACTAATACATCACATCGGCACTTCAAACACTTCTAGACATGTCTAAGCTCCTAGAACAGGGGCCAAGTTCAAAGAAAAAGCTCCCCATCACTTTCATTTCGCGGTAAAATCTTTCAAAGACAATTCCTGTCCTGCTTTCAAAGCTGTCTGGAGAAAAAACTGAAAGTATCGCACCACTAACTTTTAGTGCTAAATGAACAGAATTCCCCTGTGAGGCTGGAAGACTCTTCTGCTTTTTCACCTTCTACTTCAGAATCGGCCTTCTAACCTCTTTTTCCAGCAGCAACCAATTACTTGTTATGCTTTAGCAGGAAAGAGAGAAGTAGAGCAGCCATGTTTTTTTACCCAGGCTGTGTTTTTTGGAGTGAGTTCAATGTTAATTATACCCATCATTAAACCTTTGATAATGTTCCAATCGACATGATCAAGTGAACAACTTATCTAAATTGTGAAGCATAACTTTATAACTGGCCCTTAAAGCTGCTCTGTTGGGGACAGATCTTCCCGTATTAATGCGCACCAAAACTGTACTGTACATGCTACCAAGTACTATTAAAAAGGGAGGGCCGGGACCACAAAGGCAGATTTTAGGGAAGTTCCTTCAAGGGTTAATGGGAAAAGATCAAATGTATTTATAGCCCATAACATTTTGTCCCTACCTTGGACCAATGGCCCCAAAGACTGTGGGCAAAGATTATGGCTGTAAACCATATGGAAAAAATAACAGCGAAACTACTCAGGATTGAAATTTACTTAGAAAAGTAATCGCCTGTTATTTAGTAAATAATACAAGTCTTTACTTCCTTTCTCCTTTCCTTTCCTTTTCTACTTGTTGTTTTAATATATTTTACTTGTCTTTATTGTCATTATTCGTTATATTATAATGTATTATGTAGTTAGTAAATACTTTTTACTTTTGTATGCACTCTGAGAAATTAGAATAATTTAAAAAAGAAGGGACAGTAAAGTGAACATATTGTAAACATGTAATTGGATATTATATTACTTTTTGCTTTTTCTATCTGTTCCATGTTGTGTGCGACTCACTGTCAAGGAACTTGTTTTAATAAAAAATAAAAAAGTAAGGTCCAGAGAGACCCGAGTTATGAAACATAAAGGAAGAGAGGGAGCTCTCAGTGAAAGGAGGTGATGGCGCATTGCAGCTGTCACAACAAAATAAGAGGCTTTAAGATCCACTGAGCAGCAGAAACAACCACTTTAGAGGCAGCTAAAGAACAACTGGGAGCAACATAAACAGTATGACAAATATGGATTTTTACTATGAATCTTTCCTTGTTAACTTACCACAATGAGATCATTGAAGAGGAAGACTTCCCTCTGGTGCGCCGCCTGTTTCTGGGCCTTGTTGACATCAGTCACCTCAAACAGTCGACTGCAGCACACCAGTCTTCTGTGAGGGACAGAGAGAACCTGCAGAGAGAGGGACAGGGGTTTAAAGCTTCACTCACTCTGAGAGGCTTTACAGTCATTGAAGAAAATATGAAGACAGAGGCTGAAAGAGACACATTCCCCTCAGAGGAACTGGGTAGAGAGTGTTGAAGTGAAACAGGAAGACTTTAAATACAAACAACTTTTGGCCGAAGTAAAAACTCATCAAGCACACTTAACTGATAAATATTAATGACATTGAAAACTGACCTAGGAGTCTTACAAACATGAATTGCAGAAACACAAGTGCTGTTTCAAGGTTATGCAAGATTGTGAAGAAAATGTGAATATATGCAGGTTGACTATTTCTGATCATTTTCTACATTTTTTGCATCTCACCCTTTTTATATAAACTAGCTAAGATGTGAGCAATCAAACGTATAATTAGAACATTAAATGTATAACTACAGTCTTTGTGATAGCTTCTTCCAGTAACCCTAGAAGTCCTCTAAAGCAAGGTCAAGCTACATTTTTTTGTTTTTGTTGAGTTATTGGCTCTAGATTTAAGGCTGAATCAGATTATAGAAGGTGGAGGTCTGTTGAAACAGCAGATTACACTACAAAAATGGTGGAGACTGATCTAATCATGTCCTCGCCTCTTACACGCTCCGACTCTGTGCTTGTCTCTGTGTTGGATCACTGCAGGAATCCAAACAGCGGATGCGTGACTGTCAGTCGGTGTGGAGTAGATCCCCTCTTCATGAAAAGAAAATAACTATCCTCAGCCTCTGTTCAGCTCTCTCTCTGTGCATTTTAAATCTTTATTCTCTCTGATCCCTGTGGACTATTTACAGTGCAGTGAGTACACACACAGCCTCTCTTATCTCTCATATCTGCAGGGTCTACACACTCACAGCCAGCCTGGTTTCTCATTACCCTAATGTCACAAACATGTAGAGACATCATTAGCTGGAAATGCCTCTTGCATGTAGAGTGAACACGGTCTTGTTCTAATGGGATTATTTAGAAACGGTGAGCCAGGACAGAGTTTACTCATACGATTAACAATTAATGAATGACTGCATATAAATTGGTTCTACAATTGTTAATCGTTGCAAATCATTTCCCAACGATTAACAATTTAAGAAGAGTATTTACACCAAGCAAAAAAATCCTCATACAACTGATATGATAGCATTTCTAAGGAAGACGTGTTTTTATAACAGACAGCTCTGATGGACAGGAATAGTCACACCAATCCATCAATGTGTGGCTATGACACTCCCTCTGTAATCCTATGGCTATTCATCCATCACCGACATCATCTTAAAGGCTCATTTTATAAAGGCTATTGTAAACTGGTACCTAAGTATCATAAATGAAGAGAGGTTCCAGACAATGGAATAAACTCAGTGTATTTTCAAAATGTTAATCATTTTCCATATTGGCTTTTGTATAGTGGATGTGACGTGGTCAATTCCAAGAGTGTATGGGAAACAAATCACCAACTTGTACCCTGGACCTATATGCCATGAATAACTGATTGAAATGGATTTGATAAGATTCAAAAAAATAATTCCCTGAACTGTTTAATCATTTAAAAAAAAGCCTTTCAGTTGTATCAGTTGGCACACAGAGCACATTCCCACATGAATCACATGCAAGCAGTCAATTATAAAGCTAAACATCCGTCTCAGACTTACTACGGCCGAAACACAAACATCTCTACAAACATATTCACAGGATGAGTTAAAACAATAGTCATAAGCAGAGGTGGAAGAAGTACACAGATATTTTACTGAGGTAAAAGTAGCAACACTACAGTGTAAGAATACTCAGTTAAAAGTAAAAGTCCTGCAAACTAAATCTTACTTAGAAGTACAAAAGTATTGGCATTAAAATATACTCAAAGGATATTTAATTACTGTATGTACTACTACTGGCTATATTCACATATAACTATATCATAGTTTATGTATGAGTTTTTATTAATATTTTTTATAATCTTATAATCCACATTTTTCGTGGAGAAAAAGTACAATACTGGCTACCAAAATCTAGTGGAGTTAGAAGTACTTGGGTACATGTACTTCATTACATTACACAACTTGCCACAAGTCAATAAGCTATTACAAACCAAATGAACTCCACCTGAGCACCAGATTGCAGAAAGACAAAGTTAGTGACTAGCTGAGGAACATAGCAGAGCATTTTGCAGCTTTGATAATGAATATTTTCAAAGTGAGTTCATATCGGACTTGCATTCAGGTGGCAACCAACAAAACTCTGAATGATCATGTTGCTTTTTCCTGCTGGATGATGAATCGTCGACTGTTTGCCCAGACATCGAGAATGTGTCCTTACCGTTTTCATTCCCACGATGGACTGCTCCACCTTGGAGACGTAGGTGACGTGGTCTTCGTTGGAGCGTAACTCCCTCTGTTGTATTCTCTCATAGATTCCCACCACCATGTCTCTGGGGATATCTGCTCCGTCATCAACACCTATGATGGGAAGAGGCCGGTTACACACAACTATACACAGATCTCAGGGTGGTGGCATCAGAAGGAATATGGAGAGTGTTGTACCTGTAAATATAAAGTGTTGCATTACATACTCATGTGCAATATATCCAATTTACGCTTTATTTTCCTGTACACAGAACCAGCTACTCTTATCATTTTATATGGTCACTTAAATTGCTACTTTTTTTTACCATGGTGTACTTAGCTGTTATTTGTTTTTACTTATTGTGATTTTGTATTAATAACTTCTAATATGTACGTGTATTCCTTTACTTTATTTGCACTATACTTCTGCTGTTGTGACACCGTAAATGTCCCCGTTGTGGGACAAATAAAGGAAGTCTGATTCTGATTCGATCAATGGTAGAGGAGCCATATAGTGTTTACTCTTGCTTACATACAGCAGGGTTTGTGTCCCTGATACAAAAAGAGACAACTTGTTTATACATGACAGTAGATATATTTTACTGACAGACTTTTCACGCAAGATTTATTTTGCCTCGTTATTTAACTCGCAGAAAATGTAATACATTCCTCAGTGCAAGTGAGAGCTCTCTGTTATCTTGTCTGTCAGTCTTTGGCTTTCTGTCTTTCACTGTCTTCATTAAATAATGACAGAAGGCGATGTGTGAGGAGGTTAATTGGCAAGGGAAAGGGTAACACCCATAGAAGATGTTCTGTCTGGAACACCGCGCTGGCATTTGGACGCAAGTAGAGCTGCATGCCATCAGGCTGAAAGGTTGCCCCCCATTATACGCTCTCAGCTGTACCGTGCTGCGATTTCAATGGGGCAGTATGGGTTGGAGAAAATGAAGGAGCCACAAGTGATGGCGGTGACAGTGAGGCACCCTGGGACACCGCTGAGACATCGCTACACATTATGGAGTCAGGGGGAGTGGAGGACATGTCCTGGGGGAGATGTGTGTAAAGTGTCAGATAAATAAGTTACAATTTCTTTGCAGAGTGTCTCCCCTTTTAAAATGCTTTCATCACACTCCTTATCACTTCGCTGCCTTTTTTCAGTTGGTTGGGCATTCATGGTAGTGACTTTGATTTAGATCTCTAGATGTATATACACCCCCTAACAAAATGTTCTCGTATGCTTGGTGATTCCTTAAAGGGACAGACAACACCAACATTAAAAATTGATTGTTTATGTGTGAGTGTTATAGAACTAGAGTAGATGACACTTGGGTGTTCAAAGCCCAGAAAATACATCAACAGGTCAAACATGTATATGTAATTGTTCATTTATTTGGATTTTGACACAGTTTTGAAAACAAATGAACTGTACTTTGAGTTTAGTGCAAATACACAAAATACTGTGTTACTAAACAGGTTAGCATTGTGCCAAAATTTGCATTAAGCTAAAAGCAGTATACAGAGCCGCTAGCAGGACAAAAGGAAAGCCTGTTTTGTTTGCCTCTTCTCTTTCCCTGTCTACTTGTGTTTCTATCCGAACTCTCTGTGTAAATCCAAGCCCATCCTCTCAGTTAATGAGACATTAGAAATGCCATTGTTCTATGATTGATTCATGGTGGAAGCTGGTTTACATTATATTTCCCCATTTGGAAAAAGCTTCGTCACTGGCATTCTGTTTTAATTGAGAAAATGAATTTTCTGTGGTTCTTCATTACTATTGGTTTCCAGCGCATAATTGCATTTCACCTCAGTCAATTAGCTAATTGAGTTATTCTTCTGTCAGTGTGTATGAGAGGCGTGAGTGAACGAGGAGAGAGAAACGTACAGAATATAAACAAGGGAAGACAGATGAATAAACAGAAGAAATTATATTCTGACGGAGAACCAAACACGATAAGAGAATGGAGGAAGAGACAGAGAAAACATAATAAACAGAGCAGAAGACAAATATAGAAGCCGGGAGAGAGTGGCATATTTTTATTTGCAGAAGATGCTGAAATCGATTTTCCAACTTAATTTAATTGTGGGGAACAGCCTGGATGAATCTATTAAAGTTGTTCTGTATCGACCTCAGTGATCCCTGAGTGATTGTGCAGAGGGAGAGCAGAACTACAGAATGAGCATCTGTCTGCATGCGGGAGACAGGAATTACAGGTGCCTTCTGTCGTAGCGCTATGAGTTGTGAGCGCAATAAAATGTAACCTTATTTTTATTACCTGAACTTATGCAGGGCATTTTGATTGAATAAAGATCCAAACACTGTTGGACACTGATTCAATTTAAATGATTCATCTGTCTGTATGGAGATTGAGTAGATATGATTTCTTACAATGTTGTTCCCGTAACTCTGCAGTCAGGCGATTCCATTGGCGGGCCATTTTTGGCATCTTGTGCCAGAGTAAATTGAAATTGAAATCCATATATTATAAATATGGGAACTTTCTTGGATCTTCCAATCTTCCTGCTTACTTCTTGTGACTCATTCCAGATTTTGGTGGTATGATATTGGCATTTTTATATCAACAACCCACTAGCTAGAAAAAAAAAAACCCTATTTGTCCATCATTTATAAACCACCGTACCTTTAGTTTAGTCAGCATGAGCACTATTGCACAAAACTAGGCCACTAGAACCAGAATCAGCATGTTAGCTTTGCCACAGTTAGCATCTTAGCATGGCTGTAGACTTCCTTATGATTACTGTCTGTCCTGTTACTGATCCTGGTTAATTACATGATGTTCCTCCTACATATAGAGGAGTTTCAATGTCAGGGTTGGCTAATGAATACCAATATTAAAACTGGCAAGTCAGTGAGAAATATGTTTTTTATTCTGCCACAGATTATAGGCCTGATCCTTGTTTAGCTCCAAAGCATCCAGTTTATAATTCTCAAATGACACTGAATTACCTAAAAACTAACCTACATCACTTGAGCTGATTTTGTCCACTAATGAATGACTCCTAATTCCCTTGAATGTGCCTCTACACAAAACCGCTGAGTCACTCACCTCGTAGGTTGCGTATGAAGTCCTCCAGCATCATCTTGCGGTCGGGCTTGATGTTTGGACTGTACATGTCCGTGTTGAGCAGGATGATGGCGAAGGCCAGGATGAAGATGGTGTCCGGGTTGTGAAACTGCTGCACCACGTCGGGGTTACACATGCAGTAGCGCTGACTGTTGGTGGAAAGAAAGAGGAGCATTTAATAACAGAAGACACAAACATGGAGGAATGACAGAGAGAAACAGGAAGATAGGGTGTTGAAAATAATCAGTGAGGCCAGTTAGAAAAACTAAATAGGATTTAAAAAGACAGGAGAAGAGACAGATAATACGTTATTCCAGACACTGAAGGCATCCTTCAACACACTACAAATACATGTAATCTAGTACAATTCTGAAGTACTTGCACTTCACTTCAGTACTTCCATTTGAGGTAACTTTGTACTTCTACCCCAGTACAATTCAGATGTACAGTAATCGTGTACTTTTACATCACTACATTAACGTAGTACCTTCAGTTACTTTGCAGATATGTATTAATAATAAGAAATACGATCAATAAATGCACATGCTACCCATCAGTAGATCAAATAATTAAAATGAGTTCCTTTACAAGCTTGATAAACACATTAATACATATCTATAATGACAACATATAATATATATGATTCTTAAATCGGCTGATCTGCATAGCGAGTATTTTTCACTTTTGAGTATATTTGCATGCCAATACTTTTGTTCTTTTTACCTGATTAACATTTTGAATGCAGGACTTTTACTTTTTTACTTGACGTTTTAATGTAGCTTGCGGTTTATCTGAAGCTGGCTCTTAGAGCAGAGAAACACTGAGAGGCTCATTGTTGCTAACATTGTCACTCTGTATAAACACATTATTATTTATTATTTATTTACCCAGTGGATCGGATGCTAACACGGATTATGCACAACCCAAGATAACATCAAACACAAGACGTATTCACAGTCTTGGTTTTCCACTGAGCCATATTTAAACGTTCTCCAAAATGTATGGGCCTGCTTGCTGGATTTATGCAGGTTGTAGAGAAGACAGATGAAGTTTGAAATATGAAATCCCCTTACCTAGGCATTTTCTGCAAAAATAATGTGACAGAGGCCAGGCTCGGTTAGATGTAGTTCCAGAAAAACACCACTCAATATAAGTGGGTGGAGAATGGAAATGCCTCTGACTCGTGTGAAAACCATGAATCTAACAGATTTGTAGACACCTACTCTGGGTGTTAGCATATGTGTGTGTGTGTGTGTGTGTGTGTGTGTGTGTGTGTGTGTGTGTGTGTGCGCACGCGCGCGTGTGTGTGTGTGTGTGTGTGTGTGTGTGTGTGTGTGTGTGTGTGTGTGTGTGTGTGTGTGTGTGTGTGTGTGTGTGTGTGTGTGTGTGTGTGTGTGAGAG